ATGCAGGCAGCAGCAGACAGGCGGGGCTGAGCTCCCAGCCCCAGCCTCTCCCAGGCCTCGGACCTGCCGTTCTGGGCCCCTGGGAAGGAAACCCAGTTTAAGCAAACACAGCAAGACAGAGCTTTAGTGTGAGACTGACCTATTCCAAGTGGAAATTACAACCCTGCATTTAGCATCACCCCGGCCTCCCTCGACTGCATGGAAACCAGACCCCTCCGTCAAAGCGGGCAGGGCAGTGTGGCAGCGGCAGCCTGCGCACCGCTCCAGAGAGCGCCGCGCGTGAGCAGCCAAGGCCGGGGTGGGGGCTTTGGAAGAATGGGCAGCAAACCACCAAGATAGACCGTCGGACTCGCACTTAACATGTGCCCAAGCGGCTCTCCTGTTTTTGCTGATGGGACCCATGAGTGTATTTTTCCTCCTTTGGGGGTTTTAATGCTGAATGTGTAAAACCAGGCAGATTGTGTAACATCCCCCAGGCCCAGCTGCTGGTCCTGCCCGTTAAAGGGGAACTGCCCGGCCCTCTGCAGAGGGCATCCCGGGAGAGGCGGACCGCAGAGGACGCTGCTGCTTTGCGGGCAGACTCCGTCTTTGTGGAGCAAGTGGGGAGCCCCGTGGCCTTTTCCGAGTTTGCACTGTAACCAATCCAGTTCCTTTTTCCTCACCTGGGGAATGGCCAGGCCCGCTCTGTGCAGTGGCTGAGCCATCTCCAGGGCTTTGAAGGCAAAAAGCCTCCGGAGCCTTCCTGCCAACCCGCAGCTGGGCCTGGCCTCATTGCTCCCCTTTCCAGTAAAGAAGGAATGCAGTTAAAGCAAAAAAAAAAAAAAAAAAGAAAGAAAGAAAGAAAGAAAAACACAACACTCAAGTGTAGCACCTCCCCCTCCAGGGCCGCAGATTGCCAGGCAAGTGTGCTTGTTGGTAAGGAACGGCCAAGTGCACTGTATTTACATTCTTGTGTTCACTGATAATGACTTTCAGATTTTTGGAGCTCTCCAGCTGACAACAACCCCCCAAACCCTCCACCTCCCCATAGGCCTCTCTGCTCAGACGGTGCCGCTCCAGCCTCCCGCCAGCTCTGCCTTATAAATGGAGTGCATTCTATAAAAACGAGGACGCCTTCGGAGCTGGAGTGCAGCCAGACCAACGGAGCCCTGTGCTTCATTAATCCTCTCTTCTTGAAAGTGCACAGTCAGGACCTCAGCGGAGGCCCGCGGCGGCCCTGCACCCGGACTCCCAGCGCGAATGGCACCGAGAGGCCCCGGTCCCCCCCACCCAGGCCCCCGCCGCCCACTATTAATAGTCTGCACGCCAGCCCTCAGCTGTCCAGGACCGCGGCCCCGGCGAGCATGCCGGAAACGGCCACCCATCACCAACATGGGAACGTAGCTCTCCTTGGAGCGAAACCAACCCCCGTGCCTCCACCCCGGCTGAAGAAGCAGGCTTCTTTTCTCGAGGCAGAGGGCAGCGCCAAGACCTTGACCGGCAGCCGGCCTCGCCCGGAGCCCGCGGCCGGCCCCGCGGGCAGCGCAGGTGGAGCCTGGACAGCAGGGGAGGAGGAGGAGGAGGCGGCC